CTACTCCCATGGCAAATGGTTCGTGCCAGAAATATTGCCATATGGCATCCAATTTTGCAGTTTAGTGATCAAATGTGTACATCAAATGTTTATCTGATATTTTGTTTTTGTGCTTTATGTCACGTGATGATGCCACAATAAAGTAATCATTTTCACAGTGCCCACTATCATTTATGGTACAGTATATTTCTTTTACGTATGTTTTTGTTGGGCAACTTTCATATACTGTACATTGTCCTATTACGATGTACATTTCTTTGTCTATATAGCTCTTATGCTTTGCATGAGGTGGACTCAGGGCCCAAAATTGGTTTAGGCCAACCCTTACAAATCAGGGTTCCAGCCCCTCCTTACCCCGACCCCTAGGGTAAAAATTTTCGTACCCTGTTTGCAGCAGGGTGAATCAACCACTAGCCTGATTTGAGCAGGGTAGTTTAAGGCCAACCCTGTTTCAGTTACTATTTTGTGAGCTAACCCTGTTATTTACAATGACATAATAAAGTAGCACAGCACTCACAAAGTCCATGAGCTCTGGAAGAGCATCACATTCACAACACACCTACTCAGTGCCACCCCCACTGCCTACTACTTCTACAAACTGAGTGTTGTTAGAATCACTAGTAGCTAGGTGAGGAATGATGATTAGGTGAGGGAGAGGGGGTACAAGAGTGTCGAGAGAGTTGGGTTGTACCCTCTAAGGTGTGACCCTACACAACCTAGAGTAAGAACATAACAATATGTTTTGACAAGTGTCGCCTCATTGGGTGAAACAACCAATGAGGCGACATGGCGTGTCGCCGACAACGAATCTCGGTTTTATGCCAGTGGTAAGAAGCGACAACGCTTGTTTGTGTGGGTGTGGTACAGTTCGTCACCAAGCGGAGTATGGCCTGATCCGCGGTAAAAAGGTTTCAGTATCAGGGTAGTCTACACCCTACCCTGATACTGTCAGGCTAACCATAAATCCTATCAGGGTAAAAAAAAAAAACATGCTCTCTTTGCAAAAGGGTAACTTTCGTGGAATCCTGATTTTGGCAGGGTACGGTAATCCTGAAAAAGCGGCCTGCCCCCAGGGTAATCAGGGCGTTTTACCCTGATATTTTGGGCCCTGGGTGGACTACGGCAAAAAGCTTCAACTAACAGCCATATAGGATTTGAGATACGGTACATACACTGATAAATCAATGTGCCCCCCCAAAAGTCCCGTCCCACTCAATACCAGAAGCAAGACCATGTCCCACTCAATATCAATATGCTTCGCTCGAGCCTCCAGAGTATCATGGCTATGATAATGCGAACAAAACTAGGGCAAAGCTAAGCGGCTGGCTCACTTAAGTCTGTAAGCACTAACGTCAGCCAGCGGAGCTCCGTAGCAGCCATATCTCTACCTCACAACTGGAGTATGCCACCGAATACAAGCGAGTGGACCTCTGCGAAACAGCTACGGCGCCAAGACTGTAACAATATCATAGCTTTGAATAAACCTGAGAGTCTCGATGCCGTCAGCCCGCGACGCGCCAGTATGTCCCGTGGGTGCAACTGACTGTCGTCCACCAAAAACAATCCCCATGCTTGGTGTACAAGCGAGTTAGCACAATACCCAGTTAGCACAACTGAGAGGATATGCTAGATATGGGCGAGCGCAGGTCATCGGGTACATAAGGCACCCCACCAGCTTTGAGTTTTGACCACTCGGCTCAACTGGCTCGCCAAAGATAGAGGTCGAGAGCTTATGGTCAACAGGCAGAGTGTCAGAATATTATAGCTTATGCATATTGTGTAGGCTATAGTGGGGTAGCCCATAAGGGGTACAATCCAATTAGGGTTAGTACTTGGCGCGTCGCGGGCTGGGGTATTGTGCTAACTCGCTTGTACACCAAGCATGGGGATTGTTTTTGGTGGACGACAGTCAGTTGCACCCACGGGACATACTGGCGCGTCGCGGGCTGACGGCATCGAGACTCTCAGGTTTATTCAAAGCTATGATATTGTTACAGTCTTGGCGCCGTAGCTGTTTCGCAGAGGTCCACTCGCTTGTATTCGGTGGCATACTCCAGTTGTGAGGTAGAGATATGGCTGCTACGGAGCTCCGCTGGCTGACGTTAGTGCTTACAGACTTAAGTGAGCCAGCCGCTTAGCTTTGCCCTAGTTTTGTTCGCATTATCATAGCCATGATACTCTGGAGGCTCGAGCGAAGCATATTGATATTGAGTGGGACATGGTCTTGCTTCTGGTATTGAGTGGGACGGGACTTTTGGGGGGGCACATTGATTTATCAGTGTATGTACCGTATCTCAAATCCTATATGGCTGTTAGTTGAAGCTTTTTGCCGTAGTCCACCCAGGGCCCAAAATATCAGGGTAAAACGCCCTGATTACCCTGGGGGCAGGCCGCTTTTTCAGGATTACCGTACCCTGCCAAAATCAGGATTCCACGAAAGTTACCCTTTTGCAAAGAGAGCATGTTTTTTTTTTTACCCTGATAGGATTTATGGTTAGCCTGACAGTATCAGGGTAGGGTGTAGACTACCCTGATACTGAAACCTTTTTACCGCGGATCAGGCCATACTCCGCTTGGTGACGAACTGTACCACACCCACACAAACAAGCGTTGTCGCTTCTTACCACTGGCATAAAACCGAGATTCGTTGTCGGCGACACGCCATGTCGCCTCATTGGTTGTTTCACCCAATGAGGCGACACTTGTCAAAACATATTGTTATGTTCTTACTCTAGGTTGTGTAGGGTCACACCTTAGAGGGTACAACCCAACTCTCTCGACACTCTTGTACCCCCTCTCCCTCACCTAATCATCATTCCTCACCTAGCTACTAGTGATTCTAACAACACTCAGTTTGTAGAAGTAGTAGGCAGTGGGGGTGGCACTGAGTAGGTGTGTTGTGAATGTGATGCTCTTCCAGAGCTCATGGACTTTGTGAGTGCTGTGCTACTTTATTATGTCATTGTAAATAACAGGGTTAGCTCACAAAATAGTAACTGAAACAGGGTTGGCCTTAAACTACCCTGCTCAAATCAGGCTAGTGGTTGATTCACCCTGCTGCAAACAGGGTACGAAAATTTTTACCCTAGGGGTCGGGGTAAGGAGGGGCTGGAACCCTGATTTGTAAGGGTTGGCCTAAACCAATTTTGGGCCCTGAGTCCACCTCATGCAAAGCATAAGAGCTATATAGACAAAGAAATGTACATCGTAATAGGACAATGTACAGTATATGAAAGTTGCCCAACAAAAACATACGTAAAAGAAATATACTGTACCATAAATGATAGTGGGCACTGTGAAAATGATTACTTTATTGTGGCATCATCACGTGACATAAAGCACAAAAACAAAATATCAGATAAACATTTGATGTACACATTTGATCACTAAACTGCAAAATTGGATGCCATATGGCAATATTTCTGGCACGAACCATTTGCCATGGGAGTAGTGCAAGGTTGGGACCTCTCGACCTCGAGTGAGGGAACTGTTGAGCAGCGGGGAACCCTCACACATGGCATTCACCCTCCATGTGATGGCACAGCCACCAGCATGAGATGGGACCCAGTCACAATGGACTGTCAAAATTTGCAGGTACTACCACCACCACCACCACCACCATACCACTTGATGCTTCACGCTCGCCCTCCCCCTCCCACGACCCCTACCCTCCCTCATCCTTCACCCCTCCAGTCTTGTTATGGACAACTATTCAAAATTGACCCAACAATCATTCTCTTGAGCTGCTGTGCTCCCAAAACAATGTGTCTCCGTCCCTGTCCAGTGCCACTGGAGGATGGCAGGACTGCCTCTGACCCTTGCCCCCTTCCCCCTGCCCCCTGCCCCCTGCCTCTGCCGGTGCCGCTGCACTCCCCCTAGTGGTGCCGATTCGTAGCGCTGCTGTGGACAATGCAGCAGGCGCACGGCACATCATGCACACGTGCATGCGAGCAGGCATGTCAAGCCAAGCCCAAACACCCCACTGCTCACAACCCCTTCACCACCCCCCCCCTCACTTGCCCCCTGCTCCTCTCACTTGCCCCCTGCTCCGCTCACTTGCCCCCTGCTCCGCTCACTTGCCCCCTGCTCCCCTCACTTGCCCCCTGCTCCGCTCACTTGCCCCCTGCTCCCCTCACTTGCCCCCTGCTCCCCTCACTTGCCCCCTGCTCCCCTCACTTGCCCCCTGCTCCCCTCACTTGCCCCCTGCTCCCCTCACTTGCCCCCTGCTCCCCTCACTTGCCCCCTGCTCCCCTCACTTGCCCCCTGCTCCCCTCACTTGCCCCCTGCTCCCCTCACTTGCCCCCTGCTCCCCTCACTTGCCCCCTGCTCCCCTCACTTGCCCCCTGCTCCCCTCACTTGCCCCCTGCTCCCCTCACTTGCCCCCTGCTCCCCTCACTTGCCCCCTGCTCCCCTCACTTGCCCCCGGTGCGCTTGAGCGAGGAGAAGAAGCCTCCTCGCCTCTCCCTGCGCCTCTGCTCGCCCTCGCCCTCCTCCTCCACCTGCGACTCGGGCACCACACAGGCACAGGGCACACAGTGGCCAGGGAAGCACCGGGGAAAATTATATAGTTGAGGATGAGGCAAACGATGAATCAGTTGGCACATGTGATTCACGCGGAGCACACGCAGCATGACCCGATGCCCCGATGCCCCGATGCCCCTTCTCATGTGCCATGCCCCTCCTCATGTGCCATGCCCCTCCCTTCCCACGCACCACATGCATCATGCATGAGTCAGCATCGTCGAGTCACCATCGGCACATGCTTTGCTGGAGATCTTCGCCTGGTTCTTTCTAGTCACGATTCACATGTTTTCAAAGGAAACCCATCACTTGTGTAATCGCAGACATGAAAACGTTTCAGGTGTCTCTACAGAGTAGATGATCTTACATGTGGCCCTGGGGCTACGTAGCTTGACCATTCAGGATTTCAGCAGACCTGTCACACTGCAACGGCCCTTGCAGGAATAGAGCTCACACTCGGCAATGCCCCCCCCTCTCACCTCGTGTGCCATGTCAGCCAGCAGGCGCAGCACCATGCTGAACTCGGGGCGCTCAGCGGGGTTGGTGTGCCAGCACCGCACCATCAGCTCTGCCACCCGCGGGTGTGTTCCCTTGGGGATGGGCGGCCGCAGCCCCTGCCGTGGGGGGAGGGGGGACAGGGGGGTGGAGGGACGAGAGCACGAGCAGCAGTGCAGAGTGTGAGTTGGTGCGGCTGTGGAGAGAGTGTGGGTTGGTGCAGCGTGTGCAACCTTATGACCAGGTCACAGCCACTCCCACACCCGGTTCTCACAATTATTCTCACAGCAAACCCTCACAACCGCTTCACACCACTGCTCACCTTTTGCACGACACTGACAGCTGCTTGCAGAGGTGTGAGATCCGCATAGGGCAGCTGTGGCATGTGGCCCGCACACATGCACACACACAACAACAGGCACATGCACACGTGCACGCACGGAGAGTGAGGGAAGAAGGGGAAGTATGAGACTTGGGAGCTGATTCATACACATGTGCCTGCACGACGACCTTTGTTTGCAAGGCCGCTTGCCCTCCAAAGACCCCTATCTCGCCCTCATCCCCCCACCCCTCCCCACCTTGCCAGCAAGCAAGGTGAGACGAGCAGCCCACCTCACCCCCATTCCCCATTGCACCTGCCCCATCTCCCCCAGATCCCACCCACGTGGCCCACATGCACCAACCCCACCCACGTGGCCCACATGCACCAACCCCAGCGCAGCGCAGCGCAGCGCACCTTGCCGGTGAGCAGCTCCCACAGCGTGATGCCAAAGCTGAAGACATCCGCCTTGTGGTCGTACGCGCGGTGCTCTATCACCTGCCATGCCACCACCATGGTGCATCGTGCATGGTGCAAGGGGCATGGGACATGTGACTTGATCTAAGGGAAGGCACATGACACTTCAGAAAGATTCACCGTGCACCAAGATTAAGCGATTGAGACGTATCTTAAGCTTATGTTTTGTATAAATTGTATGTACATTACTGAAGATGATTCTCTGTACTAAGAGTAATGCGTTACTTAAGCGCATCTATCTTCCGTACTGAGTGTAAGCGCACTGCTTGTGTTTATGTTTGCATGAACCGTCAGCACCCCCACCTGTCTCCAGCGGTACGTGCCGGTCTCACCTCGGGCGCCATCCAGCGGTACGTGCCGGTCTCACCTCGGGCGCCATCCAGCGGTACGTGCCGGTCTCACCTCGGGCGCCATCCAGCGGTACGTGCCGGTCTCACCTCGGACGCCATCCAGCGGTACGTGCCGGTCTCACCTCGGGCGCCATCCAGCGGTACGTGCCGGTCTCACCTCGGGCGCCATCCAGCGGTACGTGCCGGTCTCACCTCGGGCGCCATCCAGCGGTACGTGCCGGTCTCACCTCGGGCGCCATCCAGCGGTACGTGCCGGTCTCACCTCGGGCGCCATCCAGCGGTACGTGCCGGTCTCACCTCGGGCGCCATCCAGCGGTACGTGCCGGTCTCACCTCGGGCGCCATCCAGCGGTACGTGCCGGTCTCACCTCGGGCGCCATCCAGCGGTACGTGCCGGTCTCACCTCGGGCGCCATCCAGCGGTACGTGCCGGTCTCCGCCGTCATGATGCCGCTGCCCGCCTTCACCCGCGCCACCCCAAAGTCCGCCACCTTCACCACCTGCACTCGCGCCCAGGGGGTGAAAAGGGGGAAAGGAGGAAGGATAGGCAAGGCTTTAGGGCATGGGGTGGGGAATGAGCGGTGGTATGGAGGATGGGAGCAGCCAGCACGCGTAGCAGCGGCACTGAGAACTGCGCCTCTCCTCCTGCCATCCATACCCATGGCACCTCACATAATACACCCGCCCATAGTACACTGAACACAGCGCATGCGAGGCAGAGGGATGGAATGCCTCGTTCTCGTCCATGAGGAGGTTGGCGGCCTTGAGGTCGCGGTGGATGATGCTGTTCGTACTTCCATATATGTGCCACTTAACCTTATGTTGGCAAGTAAGAGCAGACATCACAGGCAGTTTGCGCACCTCATTCTCGTCCATGAGGAGGTTGGCGGCCTTGAGGTCGCGGTGGATGATGCTGTTCTTACTTCCATATATGTGCCACTTAACCTTATGTTGGCAAGTAAGAGCAGACAGACATCACAGGCAGTTTGCGCACCTCATTCTCGTCCATGAGGAGGTTGGCGGCCTTGAGGTCGCGGTGGATGATGTTGTTCTTGTGCAGAAAGTCCATCCCCTTGGCCACGTCCATTGCCACGCGCACCACCATGGGCAGCCGCATGCTGCCGCGCTGCTTGTGAATGTAGTCGTACACACTGCCGCCCACCATGAACTCTGGTTAGTCACATGCACGCACACACATACACACGGGAAAGGGGCAGTTAGGAGAGAGAGGTTTGTTAAGGCAGGTGTGGTGGGCAAGAATGGAGGGGGAGGAATGGCAGCATGGCATGGCACTGCACAGACTAGCGGCTACGATGCAATGTAACAAATACATGATTCGATCTAATTATTCATGCTTCAAAGTAATGATTGGCACACTGACCTGTTGCCTTGCACACCTGTGACTACGGCTAGGGTGGAATGCGTACATGTGACTATAGCTAGGGTGGAGTGTACCTGTGACTATAGAGAGGTTAGGCGGCTTGGTGCAGGCTCCGATAAATTGCACCACATTCTTATGGCGAACCTTCCTGTAGAGGCCACGGGTTGAGGCGGAGGGTTGTGCACACACGTGAACATTGTGCCGGGAGTGATGGTAGTGAAGCGGGTCAGGCAGACAGTCATACATGACGACAGGGACGAGGGGGTCACATGGAATTACATCACACTGGCATCACACAGCATGACCTCATGATGCACACCTCACCTCATGATGCACACCTCACCTCATGATGTACACCTCACCTCATGATGCACACCTCACCTCATGATGCACACCTCACCTCATGATGTACACCTCACCTCATGATGTACACCTCACCTCATGATGCACACCTCACCTCATGATGCACACCTCACCTCATGATGTACACCTCACCTCATGATGTACACCTCACCTCATGATGTACACCTCACCTCATGATGTACACCTCACCTCATGATGTACACCTCCTGGGCGAACTCCTGCTGCAGCGAGTCGTTGAGGCGCTCGGGCTTTAAGATCTTGATCGCCACGTCCTGCCCGCAGTACGTGCCCCGGTACCTGGTGCCATGCCACGCCATGCCATGCCATGCCATGCCATGCCACCCGCGCCATGCCATGCCATGCCATACCATGCCACCCGCGCCATGCCATGCCACGCCATGCCATGCAGTGCAATGCAAAGCCATGTTGCACGCAGTGACAAGCGCACAAAGTGAGCAGGAGAGGGCAGCTTGAGTTGAAGCCAATTGGGTGGGCTGCCTGCAGCACCCCCAACCCCCTGTGCCCTGCATCCCAAGGGTGGAGCATAACGCACAGGTCACCAAAGGAGCCGGAGGCGATCTTGTGGTGCAGCTTGAGCTGCTGGCTGTCGATCTCCCAGTCGTCCCGCCCGTCCGTGGGGATGGGCACGCGTGACTCCGCCCCCGACACCAACGACCCCGCCCCCTGCCCGCCTGCCCCCAGCCCCCCTATGCCCGCTGACTCCGACCCCGCGGGGCCACGCCCTGACTGCATTGACTGCATTGACTGGCCGGACGCCTCTGGCTGCATGGAGAGCGCTGCGCCCGCCCCCATCTGCCAGGTGATGGGGCGTGAGTGAGAGGGTGTGTGAATGCGTGAGGGCGGGTGGCGGATAGCGGGAGAGCATGAGAATGGTGTGAATGCAGCGCGCCAGGGATGGGCAGAGAAGATAGTGTGTGCATCCACATGACATCCGTGCAGTGCGGTGCAGTGCAGTGTAGTGAGGTGCAGGGGATGCAGGGGGTGCATGGGTTAGTAAGGGCAAGAGTGGAGCAGGGGCGGGCGGGAGTGGGGCTGACCTGCAGCACGCGCACCAAGGCTGCATGCAGATCCACCACGTCCTGCTGGCCGCGCACATGGGGGCACATGCAGGGGCGCACACCCACACATGGGGGCACACGGGGGCGCAGAGGGGCACAGCAGGCAGCACGTCACGCGGCACAGACGAGACGGGAGGGGTTAGGAGCGGAGGACAATGGCCATGGCACGACCGTATGGAGAGAGGCAGTGGGGGGTGCGAGCACAGAGAGTGGCAGTGGGGGGTGCGAGCACAGAGAGTGGCAGTGGGGGGTGCGAGCACAGAGAGTGGCAGTGGGGGGTGCGAGCACAGAGAGTGGCAGTGGGGGGTGAGAGCACAGAGAGTGGCAGTGGTGGAGGAGGGGGGGGTTGGTCTACTTTTGAAGCGCCTCAAAAGAGGCAGTGGTGGAGGAGGGGGGGTTTGATTGCGAGGGTGGACCTCGGTGGGCCAGCCGTCGACGACGAAGACGTCGAGGGAGAGCCCGTCGGACGTGGAGAACACATGCGCCTCCCTTATGTTCAACCCCGCGTCCGCCAACACCGCTGACAGCTGCCACGGGGGGGAGGAGAGGGCAGGTGGGCGGAGGGGCGGGGGGAGTGATGAAAAAGTTGAAGGGGAAAAGGGGTTCCGAGGAAGGGGATTTGATGCTGTGCTGAGCTGTGAATTCTCGGTTAAGCGCTTGTCAACCACCTGGCTGAGCACTTATCACCCACCTGGCTGAGCACTTATCACCCACCTGGCTGAGCACTTATCACCCACCTGGCTGAGCAATTATCACCCATCTGGCTGAGCACTTATCACCCACCTGGCTGAGCGCTTATCACCCACCTGGCTGAGCACTTATCACCCACCTGGCTGAGCAGCTTGGGGCGGTCGAAGGTGGAGAAGGTGACTTCGTGCATGGGCACGTTGTAGTACGGCGCACTGCCATGGCGGAGGGGGAGGGCAGGGCGCATGGGGGAAAGGAGAGAGGAGAGGCATGAGGCACGGGGGAGAGGGGGGAGGGAGACGAAGTGAGGCAGACGGACGCATGGCAGGCAGGTGGCATTCTTTCATTCACCCGCCCCCACCCCCCCCCGCAGCACACGCCTCTCTTCCCGCCACGCCCGCCACAGCCTCACCGCCCTCTCCCCCACCACTACATCTCGTCTCATCGCCACCACGCCCCACCCCCACGCCCCACACGCCACGCCCCACGGCACGTGTGGCAGCCCGAGCACCTGAGGTCGGCGTGGCGGTGGTCGCCCATGGCACCGCCGTGCCCGCCGCCCGCCACCGGCTCCTCCAGATTCGGCGACGACCCAAACGCTGGCGGCGCTAGCGCGCTGCTCCGCGGGGGAAGAGAGGGAGGGAGGGGGGGGGGGGGGGGTGGAGGGGGGCGAGGGGGAGGGGGGAGAGGGAGGGGGGACAGGGGAAGGGGGAGAGAGAGGGGGCGGAACCGAAGGTTGGAGGGAGGGAAAGGGCGAACGGCAAAAGGCAGGGACGAGGAGGTGTGGCGTGAAGGGGAGGGAAGGAGGTGCAAGCACGGAGGGGAGCAAGGAGAGAAGGGGGAGGAAGGGCACGAAGGGTTGTCGGGGGACGGTTACCCGTGGGGCGGCAGGGCGGGATGGTGGTCGTCCGTCTCCATGCTCGCGTGCTGCCCCGCCTCCCCCGCTGCCGCCATCTGCGGGGAAGCGCGCCACGCACGTAAGGGGGACGCACACGCGCACGCATGGGGAGCTGCACATGACCGCCTCAACGGCGCGCTTGCGCCGGCGCGCATTGCACTGCGCTAGGCAGGCCTTACGACAGGCGGGAGTTGGGGTAGGCGGGGGGAGCGCAATGAGGGATGAAAGCAGAAGCGAGTAGGGGGGAGGCGGGCGGGGGGCAGCGGGGGCGCGCGCGTACCCGGACGGCGCGGACGAAGAAGACGGGCAGCCCGTGCAGCCGCGCCGCCTCCTCCAGCAGCCGCTTGTGCGTCAGCACGTCCTCCGCGCGCTCCGTGTTCACGTCCAACGCATACCTGCCGCCGCCAAGCGCGCCGAGCAATGGTAACATTGGTATGCCATGGTATGACATTCATGCCATGCAGCGGACAACCGCACACGGGCAGGCACACAACGAGTCAGGCAAAGCGACAGTGCGACAACTCCCTCCAGTCGCATGGCAGGGATTCGGGCGACGGAATAGCGTGTGTGGGAAGTGCCGCAAAACGCGGCGACGCGTCAGACCCGGAACGAGTGGGAATGGCGCGACTCGCCTGGTGGGGAGGCGGTCGAAGTGCGCGAGGAGGTCGGCGTCGAAGCCGCTGGCCTGCGCGCTCGGGTGGCGCGCCTCGCGCAGCTTGCGGATCACCTCGTCGCACACCTCCCGCTTCACGCGCTGCCGCTGCCGCCTCTCCGCCTCCCCCGCCGCACCTGTCGCTGGGCGGTCGCCGCTCGGGGAGGGGGCGGCGGGATCCATGAGCGCGCTCTACTGGCGGGCTCGCGCGCCTAACGCCGCGCGCATACACCTGGCGGCGCCGCTCAGGCCCACCGCCTCGCACCGCACGCTACGACGAGGTTCAGGCTTGATGGGGGCTTTGGAGGAACGAGGGAGAGGAAGAGCGGAGTCCAGTAAACACGAGGACGCGCGGGCCTCCCAGAAATGAGACGCACACGGAAGGAATGGACGGCCTAATCGTACCTATCCTACCGATCGCGCTGCGCGAAAAAATGTGACGAAGCGTTCGTGATGGTGGTCGAGAGGGGATGGCACCATCGTCGTGCTAGGTGGCGTCGTGCTTGCGGTGCAGTGGGAGCGGGTGGCAGCGCCAGCTGATGTCGTCTGTGAACCACACAGGCGTCGTGAACATGGACGCCACTCTGGTCGCTACTCGGGTCACAGTGTTCCTGCAAAACACTGATGCTGTTATGCCAGTCGAGGACCACTGTGGAGCTATGATGAGGCTGGAGCCATGACTGGATGGAAATGCGGAATGTGAAAACGTACGTAAAGTTGAACCAGGCAGCCCAGAACAGCTTGAGCTGGAATTGTCCATGTGGACGCTTTGGGTGCGCCGTACCCTATTTTCCAGGAGGGTGTTCTCGCCTCTGTATCTTGAAATGAGTTTGTTTGAATCCAGTCAAGTGCTCCTTGGAATTCAAAATACTACAACAGAGCTCATGTTCCATCTATTTGCTACTCAGCACGCATGGGGTTTCGAGCAGGAAATGGAGGGGATTTTCTCTAAGTAATTGTAGGGCCTAGGAAACGGCAAAACCCGCCATCCAGGATACATGCAGTTGCCCTTTCGAGTACACTCGTGCTGCCTTCCTATTTACTATTTTCGTCTCCAACCCCACCAATCAGGGCAGCACGTAAGTAAGACTTTCGCTCCAAGCCACAACATTTCGGCTTTGGTGGCTCCAAGAGTTCTGATAGGGCAGCAAGCCAGCGTTCCATTGGAAGATTCTTCCTGACCGCAGCAGCATTTGTGCGCAACGCAAACCCGCCATTCGCCAAAGGCGCGAGCACCAACATTGGCCCACAAAGCAGCCATCGCGTGTGTTGGCAGGTCCACTGGCTTCGAAACAACACTCTCCGACAAAAGGGATCGATACAGTCTTGTTCAGCCACCCTTACTACCATTGTATGCATGTTTCCAAGATAAGATTGTTTGTATTATAAACTAGCAAAATTATGAGGGCTCCAGAAACTATTTGACAGCTCAGAAACTTCCAGAGTCTGGCCTTTGGTGTAGACGATACATATCAGCTACACTCTCTCAGCACATATCCCCACATGTGCACTATTTATGGGTCATAACATAACATGAAGTACCAAACCAAGTTCTGCCATGTATTTGCGTTTCACGAGTCATCCAAGTCCTGTACACACATATGCCCAGCCAAATGCTGCTGTGTAAGGCAGTTCACTATGGTACAGCATCTGTTGAGGGTAACAGTACCAGTAATGTAGCCTCCCTTGCCACATCACGTGGCATGGCCATGGGCGGTGCGGCGCTTGCTGAGCTCCCTGGCCACCGACTCCGCCACAAACTCCCTCGCCCACTCGCCCCCACCTGCTCCCTCCACCAGCACTGGCGCCTGGGGAAGGAAAGGGAGGAAATGAGCAGAGAGCATGGCATGAGCACGGTGCTGTGAGGTATGGGCAGGTACAATGCGATGGGCAGAGGCATCTGATGCGTGAGGGAGTGCAACGCAACGCACCTGCTGGAGAATGCTCAGGGCAGCATGCGTGCTGGCGAGGCTCGTGCTGTCGTGGGCCAAGGGCTGAGTGGTGTGAGCAGCCTCGGTGGGGCACCATGAGGCGTGGGAGAGCGCCCGTGACGGCTGCGACAGCGAGCGCGGCACCGGTCGTTGGGGCGCGAGCGACGAGGAGGGGGGGAGCGCTGGTGTCGATGACGGAGTGGCCAGGAGAGATGGGGGCGCAGGTTGCGCTATGGTAGATTGGAAAGGAGGCAGTGCGGTGGAGAGGGGCGAGGAGGGTGAGGATGCGGAAGAGGAAGAGGAGGGTTGTGAGAGCATGCGGCTGTTGCTGAGCTGCTGGCGCAGCTGGGTGACCCGCTGCTCCTCCTGCACGCACGCAGGGTGGAATGGCGGAGGAGACGAGCTTCAGCCATCACCGGGTCAGCACATGCCACTCTGTATTCCCCATATGCCATGATAGGCTCATGCATGACACTCACTGCATGCATGCATTACCCTCACTCTGCACCCACCATGCCATTACAATCCAGCCATCCTCATCACGCCATCATCACCATCCCATCCCCTTCCTGTGCGCACCTCAGCTGCTCGCTTCTGGGCGAAGGCGAGGGAGGAGAGCAGGTGGGTGCGGGATGCGGCGAGGGAGGATGAGGGCGGGTGGGTGGCGGTGGTGAGGGCGAGCGTGGCGAGTGCTGAGAGGCGCCCCTCCGTCCACTGCACCGCCGCCTCGTACCGCTGCCAAGACGCCTCCGCCTCCTCCTGTGCTCCCACACAAATAGACACACACGTGAAGGGGAGGGACAGAGGCACGACATATGAGAGGGGTGACAGGCGATGGGCAAGATGCATGAGACACATGGAGGAGAGGGGTGCATGTTGCATGTTGCAGCAAGGCGCACGTCAGCAACTCGCTTCATCTCTCCTCTTTGCCCCCCGACGCACCAGCTTCTGCTCCAGGGGTGACAGCGCCGCCTGCAGCGCCTGCGCCCTGCTCTCAGGGGCTGCTGTGGTGGGCGCGGGCGTGGAGGCGGGTGCTGTGGCGGGGTGTGCAGGTGCAGCGCGAGTGGACTGCTCCGCCTGCCTCAGCGCCGCCAGCACCCTCCCCGCCACCACCGCCGCCGCCGCTGCTGCTGCCGGATCGGCAGCTGCGGCCGTGGCTGCCCCACCCCTGGTGGCCCCCACAGCTGCCGGCAGCGCCATGCCGTACTGCTCTGCCACTCCCTTCAGCCACTCCGGACCGTCGCTCAACCGCACTCCCTCTCCTCCCATCTCTCTCAACCGCGCTCCTCCCACTCCACTGCCCTCCTCCTCCAAGCCCACTGCCCCTCTCCCCCCTGAGCCATCCCCACCCCCCCCTCCCCCACGCTGCTTCCGCCTAGTGGCCCTGCGCCCCTCCACCACCCCCGCCACTCGCCGCCGCAGCTGCAGGGTAGGGGAAGGGGAAGGGAAAAGGCAAGAGGAGGAGGGGGGGACATCCAGAGAGGGACGGTTGGTGACACCAAGTGGGCCGGATGGTTAAGCTAGGGCGGGTGGCAAATGAAGGAGGAAAGCGCGAAAAGCAGAGCGAAGCGACAGCAATTTCTGATGCTGCCCTCACCTCGGCCTGCTGCGCAGCCGTTGATTGCCCCTCGCGCCCCTCGCGCCCCGCTTCCCCTGTTTCTTCCGCCCGCCCCCGCCTGCCCTGGCGCACCCACGCCATCATCCGCTGCATGCGCCCCTCCAGCGCGGCCACGTGCTGCTGAGCTGTCTGCTTACGTGGAGAACGACTGCCGCCACCTGGACCGACAGCCGGCACAGCTGTAGCAGCAACCACCGCTACAGTCGGCAGCTGCCACGCCACTTCTGCGCTCTGGCCTTCTGCCTCGGGTGCCGTCACTGCTGTCGCTGCTGCCTCCGCCTGCACTGCCTCCGCCCAAGCTGTTTCCGCATGAACGGCTTCCGACCGCACTGCTTCCGCCTGCACGGCCTGCGCGGGCATGCTAGTTCCCGCCGCTGCTGCCGCAGCGGCCGATAAGAAGAGCACGCCTAGCCGGGACGCCTGGAGTGCGGGAGGGCGGAAAAGCGAGGGAGGGGAGGGGACGCGGAGGGTCACGGGGCATGGGGCCAGCTATAGCAAGTAGGTCAGGAGATGGGCAGCGGAAGAGCACGGGGTTCACAGCACAGACGGCGCGCGCACGCACCAGGCGGCTGGGCGTCAGTGGCGCGGCGTCAGCAGCGCAAGCCGCGCCCGGATATCCTTCTTCCGCCCGGCGGGTTCCGCCTGCCGCCTCGACCGCGACGGCGAGGCTCTCCCTCATCGTCATGCCCATTGCGCCCTCCTCCAGAGACGGCGCGCGGAGCGGCGGAACGGCAGAGAGCAACGAGAAGGGGTCGACCGTGTTTCTGGAGGGGGGAAAGCGCGGAGAATAAAGAGAGGTGGCGCAATTGCGGAGACAGAATTAGCGTGCGGCAGGGGGGCGACAAATGGAGTCGTGGCGCGAAGAAACAAGTGGGTGTGTGACAGGGATAGTTCTACTGAAGGGAATTGAAGGCGACGGAAGCAACTCACCGCGCGGCATCGAGGCTCAGCGCGGCGCGGACTCGCAGCGCCTTCACTCCGCACGGCGATGGCGGCGGTCGATGCCACGGGCGCTTGAAGGCCGGGCCTGCGGAATGGATGGCTGGAACGATGCGGGGAACGATGCGGGGAACACAGTGGAAGGCGAGCTTCAGTCACACGCGCTGCAGGGTGGAGATGTTATTCATTGTGTGGGAAAGGTTGTCGCACACGGTGTCATGACGCGAATTGCGAGGAATTTGCGGGGATAGCAAGGCGCTAATTTTCACGTGGAAATTCAGCGCGGATGTCGTCTTGACGCAGTGAGCTTAACAACAGGCAGCGGGGTAAGGAAGGCATCCCAGGCGATGGTCATGGGAGAGACCCAACGCCATGCAGTAGCCTACACGCGCGTGCGACCGCGCGCCGACCCTCACCTGACGGCCTTTGCGCCTCGCGAATCCTCAACCCCGCACTCGCCGCCCGCCACTGAAGGTGAAATTGCCCCCACGAGCACTTGCCCCGCCTACCCCCGCGCGACGCCGCGGGCGGAACCCACTGCCGTGGCGCTACTGCTTGGCTCGCCATAGTCACGATCATTTTCGCTACTTCGTCGTTCGGCTAATAGGCTATCGGTGTTCGCTGCGCAGCTATTGACGTGTGGGGACAAGTGCGACCAAGTGCAACAGAAGATAAGTAAAAGTTTTAGAATTCAGGTAAGGCAGAAACGCAGCACAAGGAAGGGAAGTGAAGGATCGAGACGGATTTCCGTGTTAGGATCAGGTAAGTCACGTGTGTGTGGTTGAAGCACAACAGCCATGACAGCAGGGGCACTGTAAAACCGAAATGCATGCATCTTGACATCGACATTGCACCATTTCCTCGACACTTATTGGCGGGGCTCATTCCCCCCGGTACGCGTCTCGGCTGAGCAACGCGAATCTCAGATGACGCCCTTTCCGCCACACCGCCACCCCCAACGCCAGCACCGCGCCACATCCGCTTGCTGTCGCGCACCGGCTGTCCTGCCCTTCCAGCCACACAACTGCCAGCAACCTCCAACCAACCTCTGGCGACGATTCACGGTCTTTGACGACAACTGTGAACCAATCGACAGACATTGGCGAGGTTCGTAAAGTGCCCAAATAGAATTCAGCTATATAGGCGCGATGCGTTTAGATTCTCTGAACACCAACATAGTCAAAGAGTATGAACCACAATATAAAACTAGCTGGTTAATATCAAAACCAGCAACAAAGTCACCCTTATTATCCTGACTGTGACTTTCAGGTATAAAACCTTCCTGTCTTGGGAGCTCTGTGCACTGAACTGAAGCCTAGGCGGGAAAATGATTAAAGAAAATAACTAAGCAGGGCTGTACAGCTTCCTTTTGCAAGTTACAGCTTTACAAACAAGGTCAGAATCATCTATCACCCAAAGCCCAATCATATCCATACTTCTGATTTTCTTCCCTTTTGTTGCGAATTGAGGTGGCAGTAGAGCAGGTAGCAACGTTCCCTTGGGCACACGCACTGCGCCATCGCGTCCAAAGGGTATCGAATCCACCTCCCTGAAATGCATTGCCTGAGTCAGCAGCACCCGCATCTGCTTCTGCTGCACGCCACTCCCCGGCTCCCCACACCCCACCTCCACCTTGTCCAAGCCCCCCATGCTTCCCCCCTTGGGCGCCTGCGCACACAGCTTAGCCAGCTGGCCCCACGCCGAGACTGTAGCGGCGCGAGAACGAATCACAAAGAAGCTAGATGCCACATCAGCAGTGTCAAGGTGGCCCCACATGTCCACGTCAGCAGGGATGAGCCCGAGGGCCTCGGTGGCCATGGGGTCACCCCGCCACACGGCGTCCACATTGCTGAGGGACACATCAAAGCCCTGCGACAGCGCTGCCACCACCACCTCTATGTGCCTCGCCGTCCACCTGCTGCGCGCCCCCCCTCCCTCCACTCCCTCCTCTGCACCCTCCTCCTCAACCCCCTCGCCCTCCCCCTCCACTTGCCCGCCAGTATCCACCTCCTCACCCTCCTCCTCCTCCAACCCCTCCTTCTCCCTCACTGCTTTCACCCCTCCCCTCGCTGTCAGCTGTCCCAGCCCCTGTGCCACCTGGCGCCTGCTGAGTGGCGGCAGATGGAAGGCAGCGAAGCCACGTGCGGACAGCTCAGCTGCCAGGCTGGCATGGGGGACGATGAGGACGAATGAGCGCAGGCCGCTGCCGTCAAGGTGGCAGAGCCAGTTGTTGACCTCGTCCCTGCCGCCCGTCGGCACCACCACCAGCGACACCCGCTTGTCCTGCATGCCAGGGGGTGGGGGAAGGGGAGAAGACGGGGAGGGAAGGAAGGGCAGAGAGCAGCAGGGAAGAGAGTGAGTCGTTGGCGAGGCATGGGATGAGACGCGACGCGCTGGAGTGAGAGCAGAGAGCAAGACAGAGCAGAGCAGAGAGCAGGGCGGTGCACCTGGGCGACGGCGGAGAGGAGGGAGTGCAGGTCCGGCAGGGAGTGCCCCACGGGGAGGTGCGGCAGCTCGCGAGCACACAGGTCGAAGCGCCTCACGCGCGCCATGCCCGGCAGCGGCCCCTCCATCCACGCCCTCACCGCCCCCTCCACCCCCCCCTCCCCGCCCCCTCCCCCGCTTCCCCCGCTCCCCCCACCCGCACCCGCCCCCATCCCTGGGAGCAGCGGCACGAGGGGGGCGTCAGAGGGGGGGGCGGCGCGCTTGAGGGGGAAGGCGAGGGAGAGGTTGGCGGGGAGGGGCGGGTAGAGTGAGAGCATGGCGGTGCTGTGCGCCCACTTGATGGCCCACGGCGACCACCTCCTGTTGCCCTGTGCACACGCGCACGAGGGGCATTGGAGGGGAGAATGGTGGTTGGAGAGAAGAGACGTGGCAGGCAATGACACAGCGGCGCGGCCTCAACTACCCATCACCTCTCACCTCTCCCTTCCCCACCTGCCCCCTTACCCTTTGCCCCTCTCCCCCATCCTCCCCCCACCTTGTCGCGGAACCACTGGGTGGTCTTGAGCCCGCCCACAAGGGGCTGCCGGCTGCCGTTGTACCGCCGCTTGTCCAGCCACAGGCGGAACTGCCGCCACGGCCCCGGCAGCAGCGCCTGCCCCCACGTGCCCGTCACGGCGTACAGGAACGGCGCGCCGTGCGCCAGCGGGGGGAGCGGGTCGGCGCCCAGCCCGGGCACGAAGGACTGGCGCTGCAGCGACACGCCCAGCACGTGCGGGTCGAAGTCCGCGCGCCGGAAGTAGTACCGCGCCAGGAGGCGCTTCAGGTAGCGGTAGTACAGCGGGGAGACTACCACGTGGTCCTCCACCATCAGCGCCACGTCAGCGAGGCTCTCCGGCCACCACGCCTCCACCCACTGGCCCTGCACGCCTGCGCTCTGCGATCGGTACATCACGCGCTTCGGCCCGTGCGGCCACGCGAACGCGTCGATCTGCGCCATTAGGGAATGGGAGGCCGCCACGCGTCTCGCGGCGCGCGGCGACCAGGGCGCGGCGTCGGCGCGCAGCGCGAAGGGGTGGTCGACGAAGACGTCCAGATGGACGGGCTCCGCGTCGTACAGCGCCGCCGCCAGCGCGCGCAGGCAGCGGAGCGCGTACGCGGGGCGGTCGAAGACGAGTACCTTCACGTGCAGGCGGAACCGCGCCGGGTCCACCTTGCCGTCGCCCAGCCCGCCGTACGCCCACGCCACCCCCGCTGGTAACCGCCACGCGCGGCCGGGCAGCGCTACGACGCTGTCGTTGATGTATGCTGACGCGGCGGACGTCGATTGGTCGGCCGGCTGAAGCGAGTCGTCGTTGCGGCAGGGGAGTTCGGTGGGACGCGGTGCGTGGACGCGCAGGTCGAGCCAGATGCGGAGCGACGCGGACAGCAGCAGCGCCGCGAACACGATTTCTGTGAATCGGTTGCGCTCAGTGACGGCGGTCATGGCGGCCGACAGAAAACGAGGCTTACCGCCTTCCGACGAGGATGATCGCGTCGCGATCTTGGGGGAGCCGCTGTGGCGCGGCTGAAGCGACGCCATGAGCGAAGTATCGCGGCCCGTCGATGCCTTGTGTATTATCGAATTGATGACGGCAGCATTGCTTCGGCAATTGGACAGACTTACAATGAGTGCGATGCGATCGTTGGACCTAATTTTCCTAGTATCTATAAGATACTGGAATCCAATATGGAGGCACAAATTGGTGGCAGTAAAAGGGTTACATACTGCAGCGAATCTCCGAAATGACGACGGTTCTGGTTAGGCTGGCGATGAGACTGCTGACTAGAGGTTCGCATTCAGGCAGCGTTTGATTTTGCTTGAATTCGCGAATTTTCTCCGGCTCTAGCTTGATAGGTGACAGGACAACATATTTCGTTACAATTCGCCACGTCCTGCCAATGCCTCACACAGCCACACAAGCCTGTCGTCAGCAACACCCCATCAGACGCTCTGACGGGAATCCGAGGCAAGGCGGGGAGCCTGCTGAGCCGAGGCATGCGAGGCTTGGAAGGGAAGTGCTTCAGGCAGGCATCGCATCGCATCGCACAGCGTCGCTCCACCACCACACAAAACAACACAACACTCTCCCTCCAATTTCGCTACTCCATTCCGAACCACCCAACATTCATGGAAACGGTGCAACGCGGTACCGCGAACTTCTTCCACCATCGGGTCCTCCCTCCTGACTCCCTCCCTGCATCCCGCCCTCGCCTCCCCCACTTGAACCGTCATTCTCGGCTCGCCAGTCCAACTGCATTTTCTAGGGTTTCACCTCATTAGTCGCCTTAGAGGCTAGTCTTAGAAGAAACTAGTGCAACAATGGTTGGCTGGCGACCGTGGTGGCCGAAGCCGCGTCCGAAGCCGCACGACACGGCGGGGGACCTTAATCCGGTGCTGCTTATACCGGGGATTGGAGGCTCTATTCTTAACGCGGTTAGCGAAGACGGGAAGAAGAAGGAACGAATATGGGTCCGGCTCTATAACGCGGATCAGGAGTTCCGCACGAAGCTATGGTCTAAATATAACCCTAACACAGGTTAGAGTTCGTTCACTCCGGAACCAATATTTTACTCATGCTTCCATTCTTCTCAGCGCTCACTCGCTCTTCTCATACTCTTCCTGTTTTTCGGCGCGCGGCGCGTGTTTTTCGCAGGCAAGTCGGAGTCGCTGGACGACAAGTCGCACATCGAGGTGCCGGACGACAACCACGGGCTCTACAGCTGCGACATCCTCGACCCCGACGTTGTAAGCACCGCGTCGCTTCCACGTCGTAAGCACCGCGTCGCTTCCACGTCGTAAGCACCGCGTCGCTTCCACGTCGTAAGCATTTCTCCGTGTTGCTTGTGAAGTCCGCGTGCTACCTCTCGCACCCACGCTGTTTCACATCTGTAACATCCCTTCACCTCCACCCCATCTCGCCGCCGTTTGCTTCCGTTTCGTCGGCGCTTCGTCTTCGTTCGCCGTGGTCCACGTGGCAGTCGGTACCGCTGGACGTGGTGTGCTACTACCACCACACCATCGTCGAGATGCGCAAGTGGGGCTTTAAGGACGGCGAGACCCTCTTCGGTTTCGGCTACGATTTTCGGCAAAGCAACCGGTCAGCCTCCCACACCTCGTTCTCGTTTCTTCTCAGTTTCAAGGAATTTAGAGTTCCTTTCTGTTTTACGTGTCAGCTACATATTTTCTTATTCTAACCGTATACCGCTCTCTCGGTTGCCACCTGGCGCGTCCACGTGGCAGGCTGCCGGAGACGCTGGACCGGCTGCGCGCGCGGCTGGAGGCGATAGTGGCGGCAAGCGGGCGGCGCGTGGACGTGGTGACGCACAGCATGGGCGGGCTGCTCTTCAAGTCGTTCGTCGCGCTTCACCCCGCCGACGCCAAGCGCCTCGTGCGCAAGTGGGTCTCCATCGCCGCGCCCTTCCGAGGTGCGCGCGGACACGAGCGGGGGCGGTAGCGCGCGCAGGGGGGGGGGGGGGGGGGGGGGGGGGGGGGGCACGGAAATGGCGGTTGAGTTGAGCGAACTGCTTGTGTCAGTCGGCGTGCGTCTGTGAGGAGCGTCGCGGGATGTGCGTCGCCACTGCTCCTCCGCACCCGTTCCTTTCCTCTCCCTCTCCCTCTTCCTCTCCCTCTCCCTCTCCCTCTCCCCCTCCCACGCCCTCTGCCTTGTACATGTCCTCCCATGCCCTCTGCCTTGTACATGTCCTCCCATGCCCTCTGCCTTGTACATGTCCTCCCATGCCCTCTGCCTTGTACATGTCCTCCCATGCCCTCTGCCTTGTACATGTCCTCCCATGCCCTCGCTCTCTATCGCTCTCGCCCTCCGGCTCATGTCCTCCACCTCGCCTCACTCCCACTCCCCTTGCGTGTCCCGCCCGTCCCCTCCGCGCGGCCGTGGCAGGCGCGCCGGGGTTCATAATGGACACGCTGCTGACGGGGGTGGAGTTCCTCAAGGGCTGGCAGAAGTCACTCTTCATCTCCAAGTGGACCATGCACCAACTCGTACGTTATGTGGACCATGCACCAACTCGTACGTTATGTGGACCATGCACCAACTCGTACGTTATGTGGACCATGCACCAACTCGTACGTTATGTGGACCATGCACCAACTCGTACGTTATGTGGACCATGCACCAACTCGTACGTTATGTGGACCATGCACCAACTCGTACGTTATGTGGACCATGCACCAACTCGTACGTTATGTGGACCATGCACCAACTCGTACGCCCTCCCAATCCCGCTCCTCTCCCTCCCGTTTCCCTCCCCCCCCTTCCCCCCCCCAACCACCCCACTCCCCTCCCCAACCCCACCACCTCCCCCCCCCCCGCTTGCTCGTGCTCGTAATAAAATGTAATGTTTTTTTTTTTTTTTTTTTTTCAGCCATTTGCTTGTCATTTGTAAGAGACATGGTTCTTGCACCTACTTCTCAGAATCCTGGAATGAGACATGCGTTGATGAAGAATCTTAGGTGATCTATGCAAAAACGTAGTGAAGGTGCATGCAAGTGACATACCCGTTGAGTGTTGATAACCGTATCCTTTTCCTTAAGATCCGTCATGAGCAAAATGATAAGGTTATCAACGCTCAACACTTGCATGGTACCTTCGTTACGCTTTTGAATAGATCACCTAAGATTCTGCATCGCGTGGGCTTGGCGCGCAGATGATGGAGTGCCCATCGGTGTACGAGCTCATGGCGGACTATGACTTCCACTGGGGCGGCTGCACGCCCCTCTAGATGCTCCTCTGACCTCTCCATCCCCCTTTCCTTGCGCCTCTCGTGCGCGCATCCGTCCGTGCGCGCATGCGTGGTGGCTTGGCTGGCAGATGGTGGAGTGCCCATCGGTGTACGAGCTCATGGCGGATTACGACTTCCACTGGGGCGGCCAGAAGCCCGAGCTGCGCATCGTGCGCCGCCAGCCCGACACCAAGGCGCACGGGGAGAGGGACGTGTGTGGCGGAGCAGAAGCGGAGTCGGATAGTGAGAGCGAGAGTGGGAGCGAGAGAGACAGCAGCATCGGCAGCAGCAGTGGGAGTGGCGGCGACAGCGAGGCGTGCAGTGGGACAGAATCCGTGGCAGGCGATTGCACCCCGCGGAGGGCGGGGGGCGAGGGGGTGATGGAGAGCGTGGTGGGCGAGGGCGTGGTGGAGCAGCGCTTCACTCGCCTGCCCGATATCCTGGCTGCCATGGACAGAGCACTGGAAGGCAATAAGGTGCGCTGCAGGGCACATGGCAGGGTGTAGCAGGTGCAGGCAGGGTTTTGCTGATATTCCTGGCGCCCCAGCAACTCTGTCTGCTTTGTTTCTGTTCATTCCCACCCATACTAGCCATGCCATGTGGCACGTGCCATGTACCCCCTGTGTATTATACCGCTCCCGTGCATCACCTGTGCTGCGTGTGCCATGCGTCTCCCCATGCTTGGGTGCATGCAGATCGAGGTGAACGGGCGCACGGTGCCGCTGCCGTTCAACCGGGACATTGTGAGGTGGGCGGACGAGACAAGGCGCATCTGGGCCGGGGCGCGCCTCCCGCCGTCCATTGACTTCTACACCGTCTATGGCACCGGCCTCGACACGCCCTTCCACTCCCAGTACGCCCCTCGCTCTCCCTCGCCATCCTTTTCTCCTTCCTGCCCTTCCCTGTTAGTCCTTCCCTTTTGCACTCATTGTTCTTGTATCGACTCCTTCACTCCTGACACATGCTTCAAGCATGTAACCGTTTGCTTGCCCTCCCCATGGCTGCGACCCTTCCTCCCTGTGAGCACAGGTATGGGTCGCCCAAGGACCCGCTCAACGACCTGCCCGACATCCTCCACTCCGATGTGAGCCGCCCCTCCACAGCCCCCGACCACCCCTCTCCCGCCCCTGCTGCTCGCCCTCTCTCGCTCTCGCCTGTCTGTGCCGCTCTGCTTCGCCCACCTGCCTTGAAGTTTCACCCTCGTTCACCCGGTGTGCCGCCCCATGCCTCCCACCCGCCATGTGGCAGGCCACCTTTGACTGCGTGCACGGCGACGGCACCGTTCCCATCGAGTCCGCCCTCGTAAGCCACACTGCCCTCTGCTCCCACTCCCTCCCTCCCTGCCTCGCCTCCTCGTGTGTCTGCCGCACTCTCTCCCCTCCCTCCCTGCCTCGCCTCCTCGTGTGTCTGCCGCACTCTCTCCCATTCTCCCTCCCCGTCCTTCCCTGCTTTCGTCCCTGCCTCTCTCTATTTCTCCAACTCCTTATCCGCCACCCCTCCATGCCACCCACCCTCTTCAACCCCACCCACACTGGCACACACGGCAGGCGGACGGCTTCCCGGCGCGCTTCCGAGTGGGAGTGCCGGGAGCGGAGCACCGCGAGCTGCTGCGCCTGCCGCGCGTGTTCAGCCTGCTGCACTTCTTCCTGGAGGTCAAGGGCAAGGACCCCCTCTACGACCCCCTCTCCGACTTCGTCATCGTCCCCCGCCCCCTGGGGGCTGCAGAGGAGGAGCAGGGGGAGGGCGAGGGGGAAGGGGAGGAAGAGGAGGAAGATGGGTGTGGGGTGGGATTGATGTATG